TTGAAGTAAGTTTATCTAGCATACATATTATGCATCAAGAAATGCTGATGATCTTCGGATTTTTCATTGTATTTTTTAACGTCATTAAACAGTGAAACCCTAAATGATAATTATCACGTGATATCGGCAAAGTGATACGTCCTAAATTAGCGTGATCATTTAGTTATCCTATGCATTCGGCCTTTAACCAAATGGCTAGAATCATCTCGCTCACACTCAACGAATAATTAACATATAGCATGTTACTAAATATATACCATTACTATCGGTGCTTAAAATTCAATAATTATAAAAAAAGAAATTTCTCTATTTCTGTAAATACTTTAATGCACGTAGCACATTAATAAAATCTAAATTTACAAAGCTTTTTTTTGTGGTATATTCCAAAGATAGAATTTAAAGTTTATTTTAGTAAGCTAATCAACTTGCTATTCTTTTTTAAAAAACGAATTGAAACTAATAAAAATTTATTTACGCATGTAATTTCAAAAATGAACATTTGCCTATTTTATTCTCCTGTTTTCTAACTTTATAATGAAAGTACGGAATATTCAATTATTGGTACTACCAAAAAATACAATTATGGATCATAGGCTGAACATGATGAGTAAGTTGTAATCATTTTTACTAAAATGTTTTCCATATCGCTAAAAATAGCATTTGTTTTAATAGTCAAAACAGATTCCGTCAAATAAAATAGTAAATAGTATAAATTGTATAGTTACATAATAGTTATAATTTTGCTGCAACATCAAATAGATTCTCATGGTCTTTAGGTAGAAAAAGATATGATTTTTTCCGTTGACCTAAATATAGTTATCTCAGATCATACACCTTACAGCCAGAATACAGATACACAGTAGTATAGTAACTACTATATGTAACGTTCATGCAGTTTTTTAAATTCAGGAAGCCTAAATTCTGAATTATTTTGTTATTTATATTGTTTTCATGTTAAACAAATTCACTTAAAATATTCTATATTAATAAAATATTTTGTGTAGATTTCGATTCTTATTCACGCCTTATTCTGGTTAATCCAAAGTTAAAACATAGAATTATTTTTCTAAACCTATTTTAAAACAGTTCGCGTAGTCACACATTTACTAATTTGTCTTTATTTCCTGCAATTTATATAATATATTGATCACAACGGTATCTAATCGGACCATGTGATACATCTTTGACAATTAATCTGAAATTTTTTATTCTTCGATTATACAGTAATGTAATTTTATGAAATCAAAAAAAAAAAAAAAAGAAAGAAAAAACAGAAAAGCAGAAAGTTTGATGCTAGGGTACATGTTTATTGTTTTATTGAAGAAAATTTTTAGCTATAAAATTTTAATGAATAATACATAGAAGAATATCGGTTAAGAATCGTTATGTATGTTAATATTGTGATTTCAATAAAATATTGGCCAAGTCCCGCCCATAAAAATGAAAAACAAAAAACCTCTCAGAAACTAAGAAAAAAAAAAAAGAGGTAAAAGAAATTTTAATCTTACATTCGTTACTAACCAGCAATAAATCTGAGATTTTATATATGTTTATAGACAAAGCCTACAAATTTATATAACAAAAATTCTTTGTCTCTACATAATGTTTTCTATGCTACACATAATCTATCAGTTATTTTGCTATTAAATAAATAAATAAAGTTAAAATGTTCTTAAATCATAAAATTAAGCTTATTTTAGTTATATGTAATAATTTCTTAATAAATAAATAAAGTTACCAATCCATCTTAGTTAAAGTTATCGAATCTAACTATTATAGGTTTAGACAGAAAATCCGATAAAAACCGCCAAATTGTATAATAATGATAATAATAATAATGTGTATATAACACTTTTTTAAAAACGTATGAGATTAAGCGAAGAAGGATAAATAATAAGAAAAAAGAAAAAAATTACCAATGAGGAGAAATTAACCACGAGCAGAAGATACAAAATAAAATTGCGATATACGATGTCCGAAAGACATAAATTAGTGCTGTTAAGAGCGCTAGATACAAAATAAATTGCGATATACGATGTTCGATTGACAGAAATTAGTGCCTATAATTTTCGAACAGACGAGCCGGCGTCAATTTGAGTTGATTTTGCTAATTTGGGAACGTAGTTCCCGAAAATAACGTCTCTACCAAAGATGCTATTTGCTGCGGTATTCTTGTATTTTCCGCAGTAGTAAATGGAACTCCATCAATAATGCATTTGATAAATTCCTCATTTCGATTATGATGTCTATCATTAGCGTTAACATCCATCTTTTGAAGAAAATAAAATGAATGAAGATATGTAAAATGAATGAAGAACGGCCACTTTTATAGACAATTTCTAAGAATCACAGCTACCAACAAAACTGCATTCTTGAATTGCAATAATATCATTTTATTATATCATTAGGAATAGCATGCATTTAATGTTTATTTTATTATATCATTAGAAATAACCGCATGTAATGTTTATTTGTCTATTCACTGAAATATCTACATGGTGGGCGGTTTTTTAATTAATGATTTTCAAATCAATTATATTTTTGGGAAATTATTACGGAAAAACTTGAGATCAAAAAAAGTTAAAAGCAATTTTTACTTCTTTACCTTTTTTAAAAAAAAAAAAATAAATAAATTCATTCAAGTTCAGATTTAATACATTTTGATTAATTTTTGCATTGCATAAGTTCTGGTTAAATAATATCCATTTAGTAATATTCAATTTAAATTATACATCTACCCTATTTATAGTGTCGTTGTTACAACATTAGAGATGCCCTTGTCCAGACAAGCTGATAATATTGCACAACCTGATCATAAGACTGGCCTATTTTAATAAGGATTTGCCAATTCACCCCGGTTTAGTTCAACCTATACATAATTTGGAAAACAATGTCAAAGATTATTGCGATATAAAAATGGCTTAAATTTATATATAGACCAGGCTGGACCTTTTCAATTTATAATTTCATAAATTATGTGAACGCAATTTATGCAATAACTCATTTTTTGCAGTTAACAAACCGTATGAAAACCTTCGTGGAATTAAGGGGTTTAGATTTGAGGTTTCTATACTTTCATTGTAATCTAAAAAAGAACCAATATTTTATTAGTTTCGGGTTTCAATTATAGTTATAATTCCGTTATGTTGACTTTTTGGCGTCAGGGGAAGTATTTTGTTGAGAAAATACCGTCGTTTAAAGATAAAATCCATCCAAAATTAGGCTGACTATGACCAATGTATTGCCTTTACTATCATGTTCTAGATCTTAACATATGATATATGCATGATGTATGCATGATACCGTACTGTAAGCTTAGAAAGAGACTTTTCTAATGGTCAAATCACATCAATTACCCGATTATACCCGATGCTTCGTCAAATACGCCTTTTAGGAAGGATTTCTATCTGTGCATGTTATTATTGGATTTTGTTGAGGCTCTACACTACTCCGATTATTATAATTTAGAGCTCTAAATTAATCATGGGTATCTCGCTATCTGTTATCACAATTCATATGGTTACACATCGTCTAAAAAAATCCTTTTATTTTTATAGTACTACACAACCATAATAGGTTAGTCACGTTTAGGGCTAATATTTTTACTGTATGAAATACGTAATAAATTTTTTAAATTAAACTAAAGGTTTCTCAATAACTTTCAAATAATATTAATATTACAAACTTAAGAATAAGTAAATTTTGTTGGAGATTACTTGTTATTTTTAATAAAAGAAACCAAATTGATTTTCTAAATTTCATAAGATTTTAATATTTAATCAAAATTATAAATAAATTTAACAAATAAGTTTAATAATTTATAAAAATTCATTTATAAAAATTCAATTTTATTCAAATAATACAGTATTAATAACTAAAATAAAGCATCTAAAGTTTGGTTATATTGAAGTGGCTAGAATTTAGAATATCTATACCCCTTTTTCTTTTTTTTTTTTTAACCCAATTCACATATTTCAAATGTGATAGATATTAAATTTAATAAGACTAGTATTAAATTACCCAAAAATATTCATGTTATTGTAATATAAAATAATTTAAACATTGTCATGATTACTGAGGTATTATATATCTGATATAAATTCTTAACCTACACGGTTTCACGATAATTAAATTCGGGTTTAAAATATTATAAATACGTATGATAATAACGGTTTTACTATCTGCACCATAGATGTTCAACACATTTCTCAAAAAAAGTACTAAGTAATTAGGGTTAGAGATACTAAGTAAAAATGTTCTGACCCTAAAAAAACATTGTGCAATCCAAAATTTAAACTATATTTCAAACTGCATCCTAACCTTAAATTTAACACCAATAATACCATGTTATCTGAATAATAAATATGAAATATATAATCTAAAATCCAAAAAATAAATGGATAACAATAATAAAATTGACTAACAATTTTTAGCAAGTACAGATTTGCTTGTCTACGTTTCTGATTTCCAGACTCCATGCCACGTGATCAGATGCATGAAATTTGCTGCTATTTACAGTACGTGCGTACGTACGTAATTGAAAATTGTAATAATATTATCTGAAAAATTCAATTCCATAATTTTGGAGATAAATAGGAATATTAAAAATCTTATTAGTGTTTCAAAATTTTGGAATCAGAAATGAAATGGGAATGTTCGGAGACCCCTATTTTGTGATGTCGGTAAACTTTTAATGACTAAGATCATTAATTCATTTACCGAAAAATGAAATAAATTGGTACATCGCTTATTTTGAAAAGAAATAAGTCACCTAAATTTATCAAATCATATTCACGAATTTTAATTCTGAAACGCTTTAACATATTTTTTTTTTCAAACACTCCAGTTAATCTCTAATCATTCGTACTCATGCGCAATAAACGATAATCGCATGAAACATGCGACTTAAAATTCATTAAATATATGTAATGAACGAAAACGTTTCATATTTCAGAATTTTGCCAAATCGATGTTGATTATTCGTGTAAAAGAAACCGATAATTGCGAATTTCGATTAAATATAGTCTAAGATTATAAAAAAAAAAAAATCCAATAAGTCAAAAAAAGATCTAAATCCGAAGTAATTGGGAGGAAAATATTATTATGCCCGACGGCGAACTATTCTAACAGGTTGGCGTCTGAAACCGGGATAAAGTTCAGAATATCTAAAGGTTTGTTGAATAAGTAAGTTAAATAGAAAAAATTACAAGTACATTGCAGAAACTTGGAATTTTTTAAAATATTGTTACGAGAAACTTACGAGAAAAGAATAAAATGATATAGCTATTATATAGTTTTGATATAGTTTAATATAGTCTTGATATTGTAAAAATTACGATATTGTAACGATGTTATTGTAACAATACTGTAAAATATTACAAAATATTTATTATATTGTAATGATATTGTAATAATATTGCAACTATATAGTAATAATATAATAATATAGTTATAAGGAATTTACAAGACAAAAATTTAAAATAGTGTAAAAGTTGCAAAAATGCTATAAAATTTTTTTAAATATAGTAAAGAGATTATTACAATATTATAACTATATTATAACAATATTGTAACAATGTTTTAAAAAATTCGAAGTTTCTGCAATGTATGTCATTGATTCGATAACAGATAAACGAACACTTACTTATTATGACATTCTTTTGGAGTTCTTTCAAGTAATCTTGATATTAGTTTCCAGTCATGACCGTGTTTTTGACATATCATAGAAAAATAAGTAATCTCTGTATTGCTCCAAGGTCGCATGTTTTTTTGATTCGTTATCAGAATAAAATAATTGCATGTATTTATCTTTAATCATCTTTGAGATATGACCATGTTTAAGAAAAGATTATTGGTGTATCGTCTGATACAATATTCCTCCTTAGACAATTAATCGAATCAAATTTGTAATCATTTAATCACATTAATATATTATATAATTTTGTTTAAGCTTCTTGATTAATTAATTAATTAATTTAAATTGATATCATATAATACCATCATTCGTCATTCACCTAACTGTAACAATTATACAAAATATTTGGTAAAGAAAATGCAAGAAGTGAGAAATATATGCATGTAATAATTTTTAAGAATACAAGAATCAATCGTGATTTTAAATTTGAATTTTTGGCGTGGCAATAGTTTTTCTGCTGGAAAACATTAAAAAAATGTTACAAAAGCCCTAAGAAGTAATTGATAATTAGAATAATTATAATGATTGGCTTTTTAATAAAGTATTTACTTGAAACATATTTCCCTGATAGGATTAAAGATATTCCTGATCGGATTAAAGTAAACTATAAAGCAAATTGAGCCGTTGGTTTTACATAGTTTACTTGAAACGTCGGATTAAGGCAAATTTTGAACAAATTAAGCTGTTGGTTTCGAATACAGTACAATTAAAATTAGGCATATCTCCACGTGGTGAATGGATGCACATTTATACGTACACATAATAAAACCAAAACAGGCAATTTCTAAAAAAAAAGTTCATGTGCGATACAATTGGAGTTTGTTTATATTAAGAATTTATTATTTGAATAAATGAACTATCGAATATGTTAAAGTGTTAGTTTTATGATTGTTTCAAGTTATTTTTGACTTATGCATCGAAAGCATCAATCGATCTTAAATACTACTTGTATTCTTGGTTACTTTATGTATAATAAAATTTCCACAAATTTAAAAATAATAAATATATTCGATTTATTGTGTTATGAATCCTCAGTAAAACGGTTTAATCAATAACAATTTTGGTAATTCAGGCTACCACGGTCAAGGCACATGATTAGATTGGGTCGACAAATATCCCAAGGTCGGGGCATGAGGTCACGGATGCCTCTAAAATATGTTTAGGGTATACCCTTTTTCAAACAAATATTATATAAATTAAATTATAAAAAAAAAAACTTTTTTAACAAATAATTTTGAGGGTATGCAACTCTAATCCCTTTGTTTATCTGTTTTCTTTCTCTGTTGTATTATTTATTCCTTAAACTCTACAGGTATTCAATGTTTAAAAATTCAAGGCGCTTATCACGATTTTCGTTAAAGTTAATACGATTTCAGATTCAACTTTAATAAATCAAATCTTCTGTTCTGGTTCGATAATGATTTTAATAAGCTTTTATAGTAAATGAATTGGTTTTTATAAAAGTACGAAAAATCAACTATCAATCCATTGAGTGATGTACTGTACACTGAAGTATTGCGATTGCCCTTAGCTATAGCACCAAATGTCACGGATCAGCACGCATTCGTAATTTT